GCAGAAGCCCCACAAGAGAGACATGCTTGTCTGTGTGTAGTCCCTTTTTGTATGTTCTTTAATCTCTCCCACTCTGTTTTTTTGTCATGTGTAAGGGTTTTTGTCCTTCGAATTTGGAGTTTTCTTTAACCAAATAAAAACCAGATTCTATGAAATGGGTTTGTCTTTAATTCTTCTGGTTACTGGATTTGCTCAATAAGGCTCTTTGTCTTTTCTTAAGTAAAAAAAACATAATAATGAAACAGAGAATCTGAGTCTCCTTAAGCTAAAGCCTTAGTGTTGAGTGTGGGAGAGACAAAACAGAACATCAAAATTCTCTCTATGATGGCTTCATTGGCTTGTGTTGAGGACAAAATGAAAACAAATGGTTTGGTTAATGGAGGAACAACAACAACATCTCAATCTACTCTTCTTGAAGAGATGAAGTTACTGAAAGATCAGTCAGGTTTTCATCTTCTTTCTTTCTCAAGATTTTGATTGTAAATTTTCCTTTTTGAGAAATTCCATAGCAACTTATTATTTGTGGGTTTACCTTTTGTGTTACAAAAGGTCCAACCTTTTTCTTGTTAATCTGTATAAAATTCGAATAGTTTCATAATTTACGCTAATGACATGTTGAAATTTGGTTTGAACATGTTCAGGAACGAGAAAGCCGGTAATAAACTCGGAGCTATGGCACGCTTGTGCAGGACCTTTGGTTTGTCTCCCTCAAGTAGGGAGTTTGGTGTATTACTTCTCACAAGGTCATAGTGAACAGGTAACTTTGTGTGTCTTAAGGCACAACAAACGAACACATTGTAGCTCTCTAGATCTTGTAAGTAAGCTCTTGTTCAAAGATTTGATTTTTTTAATTTGATTTTGTTTAGGTTGCTGTTTCAACCAGAAGGTCAGCAACAACTCAAGTTCCTAATTACCCAAATCTTCCATCTCAGTTGATGTGCCAAGTCCATAATGTTACTCTTCATGTAATGCCTTTTTCATTTGCTTTATTATAATTGCAAACAAATTTTTGATTTTCTCTTTTGACAATTGGGTTTGCTTTCATTTTGATAGGCAGACAAAGACAGTGATGAAATCTATGCTCAGATGAGTCTTCAACCTGTACACTCTGTAAGCTTCTCTTCTTTTTTATGTTTTTCCTTTAATAACTTATATCGAATAGTCGAATGAGGTTTTAAATGGTTCGCGCATTAGGAGAGGGATGTGTTCCCTGTACCAGACTTTGGGCTAATGAGAGCAAGTAAGCACCCGACTGAGTTTTTCTGCAAAACACTTACTGCAAGTGACACAAGTACACATGGGGGTTTCTCGGTGCCACGGAGAGCCGCAGAGAAGCTATTTCCACCATTGGTTAGTCTCTAGAAAGCCATGGAAAAACATTATTAGTTCATTTGCTTCAATTGTTGCTTATGTTATGTATAATACATTTACAGGACTACACCGCACAACCACCAACGCAAGAGCTTGTAGTTCGAGATCTTCATGAGAATACTTGGACATTTCGCCATATCTATCGAGGTACGACCAATAGATCTGTCTCTCTCTGTATAGATTCAGTTGGTATTTGAGCTTAGTTCTTGCTTGCATTTTCAGGGCAACCAAAGAGACATCTTCTAACAACAGGATGGAGTTTGTTTGTCGGTTCGAAAAGATTGAGAGCTGGAGATTCTGTTTTGTTCATCAGGTGAAAAATCTATTAATGCCGGTTTTATGAACCTGCAAATGGCTGAGTGAGACAATTTGGTTCTGCATAACTTCTGATTGTTATTCACCATTTGAATTTTTAAATGTGCCGAAAAGGGATGAGAAGTCGCAATTGATGGTTGGTGTGAGGCGTGCCAATCGCCAACAACAAGCACTTCCTTCTTCAGTTCTCTCAGCGGATAGTATGCACATCGGTGTTCTTGCTGCTGCTGCTCACGCAACTGCCAACCGCACTCCTTTCTTGATATTCTACAATCCAAGGTTAGCTCAAAAACAGCAACTCCAACTCTGAAAGATATAAAAACATCTTCTCACAAGAACTTATGGTGTTTGTTCTCAGAGCTTGTCCAGCAGAGTTTGTGATCCCTCTAGCTAAGTACCGGAAGGCTATATGTGGGTCTCAGCTCTCAGTTGGTATGAGGTTTGGAATGATGTTCGAAACCGAAGATTCCGGGAAGCGTAGGTAAGTAGTCCGTAAACCGCAGTCTCTCTGTTCTTACTGATCAAATTTGGTTGTTTACTTTTTTCAATTTTTGAATGTGTATATTAGATACATGGGGACCATTGTTGGAATCAGTGATCTGGACCCATTGAGATGGCCTGGTTCTAAGTGGCGTAACCTTCAAGTTGAATGGGATGAGCCTGGATGTAACGATAAGCCGACTCGAGTCAGTCCATGGGATATAGAGACACCTGAAAGTCTCTTCATTTTTCCTTCTCTGACCTCTGGACTCAAACGTCAGCTCCATCCATCTTACTTTGGTAAATTGAAAGAGAAGTGTGCCTTTTTGTGATCTTTTCATGTGATTAGCAGCCTCTAATCATTGTTATGAATTTTGCAGCTGGTGAAACCGAATGGGGTAGCTTAATCAAACGGCCTCTTATCCGTGTTCCTGATTCGGGAAATGGGATTCTTCCTTATGCTTCCTTCCCGAATAACATGGCTTCAGAGCAGCTTATGAAAATGATGATGAGACCTCACAACAACCAAAATGCAACATCTTTCATGTCTGAGATGCAGCAGAATGTTTTAATGGGGCATGGTGGTTTGTTAGGGGATATGAAGATGCATCAGCCAATGCTAATGAGCCAGAAATCTGAGATGGTTCAACCAGAAAGCAAGCTATCGGTGAACCCATCTGCTTCTAACACGAGTGGCCAAGACCAGACTCTGTCACAGAGTATGACCGCTCCTGCAAAACCTGAACAACCAACACTTTCTGGTTCCAGCTCAGGGAGAGTCAAGCATGGACATGAGCAGTCAATGGAACAGGCAAGCCAGGTGACAACAGTCACAGTGTGTAATGAGGAAAAGGTTAACCAGCTGATCCAGAAGCCGGGTGGTTTATCTCCTTTACAAGCTGATGATCCATGTCCTGACATAAGTCAGCAGATGTACCCACCACAGTCTGATCCAATAAATGGATTCTCTTTCCTCGAAACCGATGAGCTGACATCACAAGTCTCTTCCTTCCAGTCTCTTGCCGGATCATACAAGCAACCATTAATGCTATCCTCCCCGGATTCTTCTGCTGTCGTGTTACCAGATTCAACAAACTCATCACTCTTTCACGATGTGTGGGACAATCAGTTGAACGGTCTCAAGTTTGACCAGTTCAGTCCCTTGATGCAACAGGACCTTTATGCTTGTCAGAACATTTGCATGAGTAATAGTACAAACAGCAACATTCTAGACCCTCCACCACTCTCAAACACAGTCCTTGATGACTTCTGTGCCATCAAAGAAACCGATTTCCAGAACCACCCTTCTGGTTGTTTGGTCGGGAACAACAACAACAACACTAGCTTTGCTCAAGATGTCCAGTCTCAGATCACATCTGCTAGCTTTGCAGACTCGCAGCCTTTTTCTCGCCAAGATTTTCCAGATAACTCTGGAGGAACTGGCACATCTTCAAGCAATGTTGATTTTGATGAGAGTAGTCTGCTGCAGAATAGTAAAGGCTCATGGCAGAAACTTGCAACACCCCGCGTCCGAACCTACACTAAGGTAAAAGATATTCTCTCTTTCCTTCCATAAAGAATACATTTTTCTCATATGATCAGTTTGGTTTGGTAGGTTCAAAAAACCGGCTCGGTCGGGAGGTCAATTGATGTCACGAGCTTCAGAGACTACGAGGAGCTAAAATCCGCAATTGAGTGCATGTTTGGACTAGAAGGACTGCTCACTCGCCCTCAAAGCTCGGGATGGAAGCTCGTCTATGTTGATTACGAGAGCGATGTTCTGCTTGTAGGGGATGATCCATGGGAGTAAGTCTCTCTCTCACTTTCCAATGAATCCATTAGCTTCATTTTCTGTAACACAATTCTTTTCCTTACATAACTACATAAACTGATGCAGAGAGTTTGTGGGATGTGTAAGATGCATAAGGATACTCTCTCCCACAGAGGTCCAGCAGATGAGTGAAGAAGGGATGAAGCTTTTGAACAGCGCAGGGATGAACGATATCAAAACTTCTGTTTCATAAATGTAGCAAAAAATAAACGATATCTCCTGCTGCAGATTTGTAAGAAACAAAAGAAGAGAAAGAAATTGTTCTTTACTCTGATGACTGGTAGAGGAGAACCATCTTGTTGTATGCATTTGATGTCTTGTTCCGATTGAAAAACCTGAAACTAGTTTCATATTATGTAGTGGAGTGATGAATGAATCAATAGTTCAGAGAAGAAATCTTTGGATCAAGGCTTGCTTCTTGTTGGGAAGCTTTTACTCATGTTATTTTCTGTTTCTGCCCAACTATAAAGATAGTGCATTGATATACCAAACACAAGAAAACTAATGACAGTATAAATTACTACTACAGTATAAATTACTACTACTATGACGGTGGAGCCAAAGGCATTCTCTGATGAATACTACACTTGTGGCATAAACCAAGAAATGACGACTTCAAAAGTATATAAAACTTATATAGCAGCAAAGCCAGGCAAAAAGAAAAGAGAAAATTGCTCTGCTGCTACAACAAGCTCTCTCACCAAGAGGCAAAGAGCATGTCTGGTATGCTAATTCTGCATCAGTCTCTGTCAAATCTCATTCTTTTTGCGTTCTGTGTCTCATAAGTGTTGATATTACCGTTGTTTAGATTCCTCGGCTGGTAAGCTGCAGCATCGTGCTGGTATGAACAGTTAGCTCCATGGCGACAACCCCTTGAGCTGTTGAAGTACATGCAAGGCTTCATTATCTTGGGTTTTGGATCCCTTGGCCTCTGGTTATTATTATTGCTATCTACCATCTCAGGGATAGGTCCACCTTCATGTTGGAGGTTGTAACGATAACCAAGATGTTGTTGTTGAACTGGTGGAGTCTCTTGTCTTTCCCCGCCATGTTGCTGAATCAAGTTCTTGTAATAACTAGCGTCTCTTGCTGGTGGTGCTCCATAGTTGGGATCGTCTGAAGGAACCGGAGGAGGATACACCATGGGAGGCGTCTGAGTTACCGTTGGCTGAGGGTAAAATTGTCCATTTGAGGAGGCTGGTGTTGTGGTTACTACTCCATTGACTTCATGCGTTGAAGGTGAGAGGCTACTTGTGTTGGATGAGACCGAAGTTGCACCACGATTTGCAACAAGGTTCTCGACCAACTTAGGGTTGCTTAGGATTTTAATAAGCAAATCTTGGTCGATCATGCTGCAGCCTTGTCCTTTACTGTTTGAAATTGCAGATAATGCAGCCATTATTTCTGGCCCTACAGGGAGCGTTGCAACAGTTGGAGTGTTGTCATCGGTTACTGATGGCTCAGTTCCCACTTCCACGCCAAATTGGTTTGGGAGATCAGATGCCGAATCCATCACTATGTCATCATCTTCTACAGGTAGAATGGGTATGACAATGGTTTGCTGGTCATCATAATGCGAGTCCTCAACATCAGCTGGAACCGAAGGGCTGCAGATTTGAGTTTAAGAAAAGACCCGTGTCAAAATAAGGTAACAGAATATGCAATGTATGTGAAGAACATGATAGGGAAAGATCCGGACTTTGGAGGAATAGATGATGCGCCAGGATAGAATGCTTCAAGAACTCTCAATTCCCTCTGATTCTCCGCCTCCACTTCTTTGCTTTCGTCCCCTGCAACCACTCTCCATTCCTCATCTAGCAGAATCTGCAAACACAATGTTATTGGAGGTTCAACATCTTATCACAATATATAAAGCATTGTAGTCAATAAGCCAAGGGTTCCATATGAACATCCTCAACTAGTTTAACAAGAAATATAAGCCTTACCACCATATATCAATTTAAAGGATCACTGAGAGAAACATAAATTTCAAAAGAAGAGAGAAAAATATGCAAAGTATCAGTGTAAATATCTTGTCACTTTGGGGGAATTGCAACAAGTACTTTCAAAGATTTAATGATTCTAGCAAAAGAATAAGACTTGAAGGGTACGATCAGATAGCTCACCCGGACAGAGCATTTCCACTTTATTACTGGGATGTCTGATAACTTAATCTGCGACCCATCTGCAGAAAGAGGTCCACCAAAACCAGGTGGCAGATTATCATCATTTGGATGTGAAGATGACTTCGCTTGCAGGTGATCTTGAGATTCTGATCCAACTTGTGAAGGTGATTCCTCAGATATGAACAACCGCACCTGCTCAACATGAAAGACAGATGGTCAATTGACATGTACACAAGAACCGTAGAGATTCTTGATAAAATCATTTGCTAGTTAGAATCTCATGTAGACCACAAACAAGAATTACTACACAGGAAAAAAAAAGAAAAAAAGATATACATCAAACATGAACATTTATCAGTTATCTCAGACATAAAATCAAAAGAAAGTCACAAGGACTTGTCATCCTTAATGTCACATTTACATGTTACTGCAAAAGAAAGAATAGTGCAACATATAAGGTAAGGGGCCTCATAGTCCAGAACGGCCTAACCAATCAACTACTTTCCAAGCCATGATGCATACATGAAAAAACATGGAAAATGGTAACATTCCTCCCTGTAGCATCCTCCTCCTTCCTCCCTCTCAGTAAGCAACTTGGCTGGATAACGAATCATCTCCAATCTATCTCAGCAAAACGGATGTTTCACCATATCGAATACTTTGTTGAAGTTCTAAACATCATTCAGTTATCTTGGTTCGTTCTCTTGCATACCTCACCACTGACTACTTGACTACACTGATCTCATGAGTAAGAGGTTTAAGGCTGACCATCCCACGATGGAATTGGCTGTATCTCAGGATTATCCCCTTATCCAAAGCAGCAAAAAATGTATACAAACAATTTTAGACTATGATGATGCTAGAAAGAAAAAAAAAACAAAAGACTGACTTATATATACTCCAATAGCTCGAGATAACTTATTGGCAGGTTTGTCTCCATGGTTCCACACATATTCCCAATTCCATTAACTAATAAAGTTGCAGGCAAACACAAATTAAGGAAAAACAGAGAGCAAATAAATACACTCTAAGCAACCAAAGTCTCATGCTCCTCAAATCAATGACTAAGCAATAAAACATTTAAAGCACAGAATAAAACTTCATCATCAAAAGCATATGAAAAAAAAAAAAAAATCAGCATCACTAATAAAGGTTTTATCTGAAGTTCCAATCACCATAAATCATTTTGCAATCGGCCAATTTAGGAAGATATGTAGAAATGGAACTAGACAAAGCATCAAAATCATATTCCGACATAAGCTTCGATCGAAAGAAACTTCAATTGTCTTTACCTGACAAAGTTTAAAATCTGGTGGCCACGATACCCTTTTCGATTTGTGCAATGCCCTCATAGTTACAACTTACACTTTCTTTTGTCAATCTTTAAAAAAAAAATCGGAAATTGATTCGTGAAAGGTCCAATTACCCTTTAAAATCCCAATAATTTTATCAAACCAGCAAATACTCTTTTTACATTGAACTTTCTTATCAAACCCTAATTCTTTGAATGGAGAATCGAAGAAGAGAAGATTGATGAATCTGTAAATCGAGAGAGAGAGGAAACATGCGCATGCTAAATCCGTCGGAGAGAGAGAGAAGCGATGTGAAGAAGCCCTAGATCCTCTGGGTTCTTCTGGTCACCATCGTCACTTTATCTGTCCTCTGATATTTTTTTTCTTTCGTCAGTCTATTATATACACGTGTCTTCACAACCGTAGCCCCTTAATTTCTTGTGCATTTTTACAGATAATCCAATAGTTTAGTATATTTCCATTACGACCCCTATGTTTTTTGTATTTTATGTGGAACTTCTGAATTTATTATTTTTGGAAAACGAAGTCAATAGCAGCCCCAGTTTCGTTTGACTCGTAGTTTATGATTCACCAATCCACGAACCTTGATTGAAGTTTTAGACTAATCTTTTTGAAAACACTCGTTAGATGATAAATTTGAAGCATGCGTTAGTCAAATTATGAGATGTATAATTGATAGTTAGATTGTTAATCACTTACCTTTGCTATTAGTTTATGTGTCCTTTTAATCAATTTCTCTTATTCAAAACAATCTAGTTCATAGAAAAACTGCAAGATTGCATTTATCATTTCGTGATACAACACAACTTATCATAGCATACAAATTCTTGTCAACATTTATACAGTTTTAAATAAATTAGAAAACAGATTTTGTATGGTAATTCTTCTTCCATTACGTTGCATAGTTCACTATTATCGGTCTGA